GCTCTCTGCTAGTGCCTCTCTCTCTCTTGAATGCCTGTGTGCTCTCTCTCTTGAATGTTTGTGTGCTCTTTCTTTTTGTATTCAGTTCTGCTCTCTCTCTCTCTCTCTTCCTCTCTTCTGTGATTGCGTTCAATTCATGCTCTCTGCTTGTGTACTCTCCCGCCATAGTTTATCTTTTGGTGTGCTTCAGTCCCAATCTATTTTCTAGTCTCAAGGCGTATAGGTGAATTTGTATCTAGTTCTCGAAAAATGACGCGTAGAGAAGTTCTCTCGCCATTATTTTTTCATCTCGCTATTATTATTTATCTTATTGTGTGCTCTAGTTTCAAGTCTCCTCTGGTTGTGTTTCACTTCTGTATGTGTGTTGGAAAAGAAGGTTCATACATATATAGCAGCACATTCAGAAAGGATTCTGCAGTTTTTTCAATTTGGCCGCTTGTTTCATACTTGACTGACTTCAAGTTCAGAATTTTATGATATTTTTGTTTGACCAGACTTGTAATTCAAAAGTTGCCATAAAAAAAATCAAAAGGAAAAACTTCCCATACAATTATATTCGGTGCCTTGGGTTTGAAAGACGCCATTTCAGCAATGCATAATGACAAAATATGCATCAGGCCATCGATGAGTTTTTATAACCTTAGAATTTACGCAAAAGCCATCTTCAACCCATGTGGGATTTCCCCTTTAGCACCTTCGACAACTTGTGTCGTTCGTCAATCTTCTGTGCTCTTACTCTTTCGAAGTATCAAGTAGCAACTTTGCTTGCTTTTCTGAAGAAGAGTTCAATGACCTCCCTTCTGACTGCAAACCCCAGACCATTCCAACTTCCAAATGGCTTTTGCCTTTCGTTCTCTGTAACCCGACTTGGCTCCGCCCTTGTGTTTGCTCAATCCACGTTGCAATCTATGTCCATATGTGTGCTTAATCAGATCTTATTTAGCACCATATCATCTCTGTCAAGTTTAACTAACGGCATGTCAAAGACTTTTTAAACGGAAGGACTAACACAATCAACTGAGCAAACAATAAACCCTTGATAAAAAGAAAAAAAAACTCTAAGGACCTAATTAAAAACTAAGATAAACTGTAAGGATCTCCATATTAGTTTTCCCAAAATTCAAAATCAATTTATGTTTTTAATATTTTAAATAATTTTTATTTTAATAGATGGATAATTTAAAATAAAAATAATTTTATAATTAATATTTTTTAAAAAAATTATTTTCTTGGTCAGTTTATAAAGATAATCTTATTATCTGGCCTAGAAAAAAAAAGATTTATGAGCACATATTAAAAATTTTAAATTCAAACCCTTTAAATCCGAGATTCAGCTATGAGGTCTTTTGTCTTTTCAAAGAGGTAATGCATGAATATGCACAAACCTCTGAGTCCCGTTCCTTGGCTCGCCCATGATCGTCTCCTTCACTCCGATCCCTAACTCCCTCCGGCAAGCAGACACGGCGATCGGAGGCGGCAGTCTTTGTCTGCCCCTGGAGATCATCCAGAACATTCTCAAAAAGCTTCTTTCAGTTAAATCCGTGGAAAGGATTGGAGGCGACAATCCTTTTCTGCCCCTGGACATCATTTGAAACATTCTCAGAAGGTTTCCTGTTAAATCCCCCGCTCGATTTCGTGCTGTGTGTAAAGATTGGAAAAATCTCTTGGAAACCCCATATTTCCCCGCAGAGCACTACCGCCACTCTGCTCACAACAACCCTCTTCTTATCTACACTGATTTCAGGCGCAATCCTAGATATTCGCCCTTGTGTTTGGTTCCTTATAAGATGGAAACTGTGAAAGTTGAGAGAATACCCGCCATGGATTCCTTAAGGTATCTTACCAGCATCATTGTTGTATTTATAATCGCTCTCCTACTCCTTCGCTTTTGTTGTTGAACCCAGCGACTAGAGAGGTAAGGCAAGTACCCAGATCAACAAACGATGATCTCTACATGCTGTGGGATGGGGATTTGGGTTTAGTCCTGCGGTTAGGGATTATAAGATAGTGAGAATTTACAAGGCTAACCGTCCTTCAATCAATTTTGACGAGGATGGTATTCACGGAGTGAAAGTGTTTTCACTAAGAAGGGGGTCCTGGAAAGAAGTGGAATTGGGGCTATACGGCGGGGTCTAGCATTTCCTTGTGAACCTGTCACTTTTAATGGGGCTATATTTTGGTTGGGATGGGGTGAAGCTTTCGTTAAGATAGTTTCATTTGATCTAATAATGGAAGTTTTTACATTGATACCAACACCTTTTTCAATCCCTATTCGTACTGATCCTTTGTGCCAAATTGCGTTTGATGTGTATGAGAACAAAGTTGCTGTGCTTTATCAATACAGAGATGGGTATGAATCTTCTTTCATGGATTTATGGGTGTCGGAAGAGGGAAGTGGTGCGTATGGGAAGAGTTGGGGTTGGAGTAAGAAATACAGTTTGGGACCAACCTTGTGTTACTTAAGTCCAATATGTTTTTGTGACGAATGAAATAGTCTGCCGATGCGTAAAATTTGTGAGATATAGTGAATTGAAGAATTTCAACATCCATCCATCTACCAATTATATAAGTAAAAGAGTCGTTTACGTAGAGAGCCTCATGTCCATGGATGGGGATTCTTTCTGCTCAATTCTCGCAAGAACAGAAGAACTATCTGCCAGGGAGTAGTCTGCCTTCATGGAAAGCCTATTCAGAAGTTCTGTTGGATAAGAAATTAAACAATTCTGATCCATCTTTGTTCTTTCCATTATGTGTTAGAGCACAAAGGCTAAAGTTTTTGGAGGATATTATATTGCTTCATTGCTCAAGGGGCATTCTAGGGTAGATCTTTTAGGTTTTTCTTACTCGCTGTTCTTTTTGTTCTTTTCTCAGTATTTTAAGTTCTCATTTTGTCTGCCATCATTACGTAAACTTACAGTTTCTTTTAATTATAATATTTAGAGAGCCTCATGTCTATGTGCGACACGTATGTTGAATAGCCTTGCTGTACATTTTTTTGCTTTCACATTCTGGATTTACTTTGTCTTAGCAATTTTGGTGAAAATGTTCCCACAAAACCTTTGAACATTTGAGTTTTACATACTAAATTGGTTATGGCCGGGAACGTGTGGCAGACAGTGGCCATCATCTACGACAGGTGAGAACACATGGAAAGCGGTGGCTATTGCCGACGGAAAGGTGGTGCTGGCCAGTAGGGACATGCAGTGTGGTGGGCAGTGGCTCTTACTGAGTGGGAAAGAAAAGAATTTCCAATTCACCAAAAGAAAGAAAAAAAAAGAACTTTAAAAACAAAAACAAGAAAAACATCTAAAAGTTGTTTTGGCATTTTAATTTCTTAAAAACACCTAACTAAAAATAAACTATCAAATAAGTTTTTTGTTTTTGACTTTTTGCCCAAAAAAATATCTTTTTTTGGAAGAAAAGGCCCTTGAATAGCACATCAACTAATTCCTTTATTTATGGTATAATCGAATCAGCTTGCTTTTTTTTTGGCCAACTGCATCGACTTGTGTTTGTAATTTTGTACTTCTCCTATCCTTCATATAGAACCTAATTAGGGAGCTGATGTTAGTCTTAAATATAATAGATATTTCATATATTTATTTTTTTTTTTCAAATTAACCTTACTGATATTTTTCTCAATACTGATAAGTAGGAGAGGAAAGGATGGAATTCAGAAAGATATTTAGGGTGCTTTAAAAAAAAAAGTATACTATGTTAATTAATTTAACTAACATTTTTAATCTACTCAAATTAATTAATTAGTTAATACTATTACCTCTAGTCTTAGCTATAAGACCTCTTTACACCCGCTTCAATTCCTGCCATTTTCATGAACACCCGCCTTTTCTTAATTTCTTTTTTTTTTTTGTCTAAACTTCTCTGATTACGCGTCACTTTTTTTCTTTTTTAATTTACTCCCTTGGCTCTTTGGCATAAGGGTCTTTAATATTTAGTCAAAAATTGGTTCAACTCGTTAAAGCTATTTTAAATTTGAAATTTATTTCCAAAATTACTTTTATGACGATTCCCTTACTAGTAGTGGTTTTTCTCTGATTCACTGTGTCTGCACACCAATCAAAAAACCCCCCTGACAAATTTATATAATCTGATTGTGTTCTCTGCTTTCACTTCTTTTATTTTAGATTGCATAGACTAACGAACGATATTTCAGCTAATCGTATGTTTTGATTTGAGGGGAGATAATAAAACACCAACAAACACTGAATATCCACAATATTACCTCCGTCCTTAATAAGACCCCGTTTGACTTTTAGTTTGGACCTAATTATAAGACCCAAATCCATTTTATTTCTCATATTTATGTATTTTTTTCCAATATAGTCATTCTAATAATGATAGTTCTAGCTAATATACATAATTAGCGAGGATATTTTAGGAATGACAACACTTATTTATTACAAATAACTAACTTAACTTACTTTCTTAATTTCCTCAAATTAGTCAACTGGGTCTTATAATTAGGACCGGAGGTAGTATATTATAACGTCAAGACGAAAACGACGGTGGATACGTGGCTTTTAGAAAACGACGAAAACCTATTTAAAAAGGTTTACCTAAATATCCACAATAGATACGAAAACTTATTTAAAAAGTTTCATGTTAATATCCAGGAAGCTTGAATTTGAATACGAGGCTTTCAGAAAAAGACAAAAACCTATTTAAAAAGCTTTCCGGAAATGTCCGCAATGGATACGCGGCTCTCAGAAAACAAAAGAAGCTTATTTAAAAAGTTTTACGCTAATGTCCACCAAGCTTGATCGGTGAATACGTGGCTTTCAGAAAAAGACGAAAACCTATTTAAAAAGCTTTACGTAAATATCCGTGAAGCTTCGTGGTGGCACATTCTTTTTACGCTGGCAAGACTTGGTGGCATATTCGCTAGAAATTCAACGCTTCATCCTCATTCGTTTTTAAGCCCTCTGAGTCCGCTAGTGCTAAGATTAGCTCCGACGAGGGTCGTCAATCGTATTGTAATCATGGAACATCGAGCACCATCCTCTTCTACCACTTATAAATGGAAGTATGATGTGTTCCTTAGTTTTCATGGCGATGATACTCGCTCAGCATTCATCAGCCATCTCCATGATTCTCTGTGTCGAGGAGGATTTAGTGTCTTTATTGATTGTGAAATCGGGATCGGAGAAAAGATCACGGATGACCTTTTCAGAGCTATAGAGGAATCAAGAATTGCCATGGTAGTTTTCTCAGAGAACTACGCAGACTCAACATTTTGCTTGAAAGAACTTGAAAAGATACTGGAGTGCTTCAAGAAACAAAGCCTGTTGATATATCCAGTGTTTTATCATGTGGATCCATCAGAACTACGACGTCCCAGAGGAAGCTATGCAGCAGCATTGGCTCGACAGGAGGAAAGATTCAAGTACAATCGGCACACGGTGGAAACATGGAAGCGGAATCTGTCTCAAGCTGCTGAATTCAAAGGCTTTCATCTCAAACCCAAGTATACATATCTCCTCACTCTTTTCATTATTATTTTAAGTATAGTTAACTGCAATTTCCATTTTATAACAACATACATACATGTACTCTAAGATGGCTCGGAACCTCTCCTCTTCCCTTCTTTTTAATGTTATTTTTCTAGAAAAGAGAAACAGTAACCAGGTATGCTATATTCCTCGCAATATAGCAGCTGCATTCCATTAACTAGTTAGAAAACCATTAATCCACACGTACAGGTGTATAGCAACACTTATCTTCATCGTTCATATGATAAATTAATACTTTTCAATTGGATTAAAATAAGGGTTAATATGCAGTTTTTTTTCCCCAGAGTTTTCACTTAAGAATATTAAATATTCAAAAGTTTTTTGTGCAAATTTTCTCTAATAGTGACGTTGACCATTGTTATTATTTTTAATGGTAGGAAGTAATCCGGAACAAATTTGTACAAAAAAACTTCTAGGTGTACAACACTCCTAAGTGAAAACTTTTGAGGCAAATTTATCTCTTGATCCTTAAAGTAATAAAATGCTACAACACTTTCATATTTTATCGTTTACAATGTAAGGAATGAAACTATATCTTATTGGGAGTAATTGGGAATATAATGGACCCAAGTTTTTATATCTAAAATTGATATATCTTAATGTTTTGTTCGACTAAACCTAAACTTCTTACAAATTGTTCAGGATTTCAAATGAACGAAAGTGTATTAAAAAGATCATTAAGGATGTTGCTGCTAGGATAAAGCCGCCAGAGCGTTCGCACGTTACAAAATATCAAGTTGGACTTGTGTCTCGAGTGGAGAAAGTTATCTCCTGTTTGGATCTTTGGTCTACTGAAAAAAAACAAAATGATAGGAATTTGGGGAGCTGGTGGAATAGGCAAATCAACTATTGCAAGAGCTGTATATAACTCCATTGCTGATAATTTTGAAGGCTTATGTTTTCTTTCTGATGTGAGAATGCATTCTGAAAATATAAATACTGGTTTGCCGCATCTTCAAGAGACATTATTGCGTAAATTAGTCAAGGGAAAAACATTCAAATTGGATGATTATCATGAAGGAATACCAATAATAAAACGTAGGCTTAGCCAGAAGAAAAAGATTCTTTTGATTCTTGATGATGTTGACAAATCACAACAATTAGAAGCACTTGCTGGAAGTTGTGATTGGTTTGGCTGTGGAAGTAGAATCATCATCACCACTAGGGACAAGCAATTATTAGTAAACCATAATGATGTTTCAGGCATTTATGATGTTGAGGAATTAAATTACAAGGAATCTCTTGAGTTGCTCAGTTGGCATGCTTTTAATAAAGAAGACGCGGATTCCAAGTACATGAAGGTTTGCAAGTGTGCAATACATTATTCATGTGGCTTTCCATTAGCTTTAGAACTGATTGGTTCTAGCTTGCATGGTAAAGGAGTTGATCATTGGAATTCTGCATTGCGTCAATTCAAAAGGACACCTCACGGACAAGTTTTTAATGCCTTCAAATTAAGCTATGATAGCTTAGAAAAACAAAACCAAGCAGACCCAAAACAAGTTTTCCTTGACTTGGCTTGTTTTTTCAATGGTGAGAAATTAGCACATGTCATTGATAAGTTGCAATGTTTTCATGGAAACGATGTAAAATATGCTATTGAAGCAGTGCTGGTGGATAAATCCCTTATAAAGATTAAAGGGGATTGTGTAACAATGCATGGCTTAATAGAAGATGCAGGCAAAGAGATCGTTCAACAAGAATCATTATATGAGCCTGGTCAACGTAGCAGACTATGGTTCTATCAAGATATTCTTCATGTCTTACAACAGGGCACAGTAAGAACGCCTACATGCATGTTCATTTTCTCTAATAAAATTCCTAATGATTTATGATATCTAAGTTTTGACATTTATTGTGTGCTTTTCATTTTGGAAGGGGACTAATGAAGTTCAAGCCATAATTCTAGACTTACCTGAAGGGTTAGAAGTACAATGGAGTGGAGAGGAATTCATGAAGATGACAAGTCTCAAAATGCTCGTGATAAGAAAGGCATGTTTTTCTAAGTGTCCAAAAAATCTGCCAAATAGTTTAAGGTGGTTGGAATGGAAAGGCTATCCGTTCAAATTTTTCCCATTTCATATGTGGCCAACCGAACTTGTCCACCTTGACTTGTCTTATAGTTATTGTGAATTAATCCAACCACGTGATAAGGTGAGTATATTAGTGCCCTTGTATTTTTCTTTTTGTTTCTTTACCTACTTCTAAAAGTAATTGACATTTGTTTTGCAGAAGTTTCACAATTTAACCAGTATGAATTTAAGCAATTGTGAATATCTACAACAAACACCAGACCTATCTGAAGCTCCCAATTTAAGAGAATTGCGGCTTGATGATTGCAAAGATTTAACTACAATTGATGGTTCAGTTGGACGTTTGAAAAAATTGACAGAATTGAGTGCTATGCGATGTAAAAAGTTGGAGAATTTGCCATCTCATCTCAAGTTGGAATCTCTTAAACATCTGAACCTCTTTGGTTGTTCAAGTCTTCAGATATTTCCAACAGTAGAGGTCGAGATGAAAGAAATTCAAACACTTGATTTAGATATGACAGCAATTACTGAATTGCCATCTTCAATTTGCAATCTTATTGGACTTGAAACCTTAAATATGGACAGATGTCCTAATCTTAAGAAGCTACCAACTAGCATTTGTACATTACCAAACCTTTGGAAACTAACGGCAGATTCTTGTAAAGAAATGAGTCATTTTGAGCAGTGTGCAGGAGGAAATAAAGCATGCTCAGATTGCTCCACAATGTCATCGAAAATGGAACAGCTTTTTTTCTCGAATTGCAATTTATCAGATGAATCTCTTGCTTTCTGTCTTCCTCACTTCACTAATATGGTACATTTAGATCTGACTCGTAATAAATTCACAATTCTTCCAGAATGCATCAAAGAATATCATAATTTGAAATATCTTTTGCTGGATAATTGCAATCAACTTCAGCATATTGGAAGGATGCCGCCAAACTTGGAAAAATTTAGTGCCGAATGTTGCACATCATTGACTAAGTTATCCAAAAGCGAAGTGTTGAAGCAGGTATGCCCCCAACCGAAAGTAGCCCTCTCTATAATTATATTATTTTAGTACTTATTAGTTAACTTTTCTTTGTTTTTTTTTTTTGGTGCAATTGACAGGCATTCAACTTTCAATATGGGAGAAGACACTTTATTTTTCCCGGAAGAAAACTTCCAAGAAGGCTTCATTACTATACTCAGGGAACTTTTGTCTCATTTTGGGTTCGTAACGTGTTTCCAACGACTTTTCTATGGATTCTTGTGAAAGATGACCAGGATTATGTCTGCAATTGCAAATTCTCAGTGCACATCAATGACTCCAGGAAGTCGGGTGCTATTTCTTCCATGCGGCTTTCTTTACAGTCAAAAATAAAGACTAATCACATATATATATGTGATCTGCAAAGCGTATTTCACGATACTGAACTCCCCCATCGAGATAAGTGGAATCAAGTGAAGGTTTCCGCCAAGAGCACAAAAGAAATTTATTTCGGCGTTCATGTATCAAATCTATCAAGTAACTCAGAAAATATTCAACTCATGGATCCTAGAAGATACATAATTGATCACAACAGCTTGTTGCAAAAAATACAAGAACAAGAAGATTTGGAAGAATTCGAGGAAGACATGAATTTGGATTCAGCCTACTCAACAAAATCTGCAGAATCAACTGAGGACCCCATGTATTATCACGGTAATCCTTCCCTTCTCCCCTCTTTTTATGTTACCAATGACACTTATTCTTACAGCTTACTAACTTCAATTCATTATCAACTTATTTCTTTAATTCAATTCATTATGTTTACTTTATAACCTGACACTTTAACAATTAAAAATTTGTAAACTAACAAGTCTGGGTTTACGTTTAACAAGTAAAAGTTGATCTAACCTTGTCGGCAAGGGAGCTCCAGAAACTGCTGCCAGTGGTTCGACTAATGGCGTCGGAGCTTTGGCGGTGGTGTGGCTCCTGGTGATGATGATGAGGGCTTGATTTTAATGAATGAAAGACATTTTAGTAATTAGATAATAAAATTTAATATCTAATTAGTCACTTGATTCTGTTGAGTAATTTCAGATTATGTTGAGATTGCTTTGCAATTATTATTTTAATGCGATTCTTCCTTTCATTTATATGTCAACCTGATATATACACATTCTGTGACATATTTTGCAGTTGCTGAAAATTAAATTCCAAATGATCAACTTGTCTTTCTTGTATATAATGATTGCCGTCTTGGGACACAGGATAGAATTATTATTATACCACTCCAATCTTTCTTTCTTTCTTTTTTTTTTTTGTGTGAGTAAGATACCACCCTAATCTTTAATACAAGATCTGCTCTAAAGAATTTTTATGGTCCTGAATACATATACCTGAATATATATATATAAGTCACTTTGTTAAAAAAAAAACAATAGGATTAATTTTTTTTGGCACAAATGCCCTTTATTGTATTTTAGCTGGAGAGAGATTTATGTAAGACATAAATTAAAAGTAATTAGAGTAAAATGTTTAAACCTTCCTTGCATGCATATTGCCTTAATTACATGTACGTTGCCTCTATTTTAAAAACATAAAACTCAAATTCAAACTTTAAACTTCATTAAGAATATTTTTAAAAGATATCTTTTAGTTAAAAGTTATACTAAATAATTTTATCTACTAGTTGAACCTCTATCATACTAAATCCCTAATTTTGGTTAAATTTATTTTAAAAAATTCAAGAGTTTCTTTTTCTTGTTCTAAATAGTTATTTATTTAATGTTTTTATCATATTGGGATAGACAGTTAAGTAATCAAGTTAAGGTAGGCATTAAAAAATTGATTGAAGACTTGATTAATTCCTAATAAATATATACTTGATTAAATGTATTTATAAATATTTGCAGAAAATTAAAAATATGGTTAAAAATTTGAAGTTGTAAATTTAAATGATAATATAAATTTATATATATAATCTCTTAAACTTATTTGTACTATATGATGAACAAAATAAGGTTGAGATATAATTTCAGCTATTCAAAAGAAAGTAAATAAGGTTCAATAAATTTGATGAAAAATTAAATTTATAGAATTTTATAATATAATCAAAATTAATACATTTTATAAAATAGTTAAAAGTTTTAAAATATGTATTAGAATTATTTTTCGGTTGTATAAAAAATTACTTTTTTTCGCAAACATAAATATTTAACAATTCCTAGGCCAAATAAGGGGTTTCTAATTAAAACAAAATTAATAGTTAAACCTTAACAATTAACTGACAGTTAGGTTAGGTGGATGAAAAATATAATTTTAAATAAATAAGGGAGATTTATGTCGAATATTTTTAATTTCAATGGAGCTTTAAATGAGTTTTTATAATAGAGAGGAAGTTTTTGTAATTTAGGTAAAACAAAAGAATTATTAGTATATTTTACTAAGTAATTAAGAAACATTAATTTTAATTGGAGGGTATTTTTCAAAAGTAATAATAATTTCTCTATCATTTTAATAATACAAACTACTATTAACTAATTTTCTTAATTCTTGTGAACTAATTAGAAGTGTTTTATATTAAAGGCTAAAGTGGCATTATATTCCCCCCTTTAGATCCTTAGCTTCATGCAAACTTCCGCATATTTCATTCCCTTCGTATAGAAAAATTAGTTATTTTAGTATTTCCCAAAATATATGTTTATCACAATAGATATTAATTCTTTTAATGTGTATGTATATATGTTACTTCTTCCAATATATATATATATATATATATATATTCTTCATGTACACGATATTTATTTCTCAAAAATAGTTATGGAGTAATTTATTTCTTATATACGCACATATATTTCTTTCTTGCTAGGAAATGATATTACTTAGACTTTTCTTATCAACTTTATACTTGCTTCTATGATAAGCTAGTCATCTCGGCGTGCCAAAGAAATTACTCCTCGTTAGCTTATGTCTTTTATGGACACACTCACACTTAGGTCTTGTTTTCTTACAGAAACCTTTCATCTAATTAGCTTCTTTTGCAAGCCAAATGAATTATCGTTTTAGAAGTTTTTGTTATAACAACATATCATGCAGAAGCATAATATCTGAGTTTGGGAGCTTAAAGTAGATGCTTTTCTTGTTTTGTGAAATAAAATTTTCCTCACATATTTAATTCGTTTGGATGAAATTGCTTCTACATAGCTGATCCAAAAAGCCTAAAATTGCTCATTTACTACAAGCTTTTACCATTTTACGGTTTATTATTACTGTTAATGTTGCAGTAACTGCGGCCATCACACAACTAAAGTTGTACTCTATATTTTTAACGTTTTAGAAATATTTGTTGTTCTTACTTTGTTAATCTTATTTCTCAATATTTATTTCTATTTTCATGGACAGAGAGAGATATTATGAAGACGCTTCGACCTTATTGGGATGTAAAATGTTTGAAAGTTGGTCGTCGTTCCTACGAGAACTTGGTTGAGTTGCACCAGATTGACTGCAAAAACCGTGGGAGAATTGCTCCCCTCGGGCAACTACCTTCTCTTAGGTCTTTAACTATTGGAGGATTACAAGCGTAGTGGCTGTGGGTTCTGAGTTTCTAAAGGCAGATGATTGTGCTTCTGTTATACCGTTTCCATCCCTTGAAACTCTTGATTTTAGAAATATGATCTCCTGGCAAGAATGGCATTTAACTGATACGGAAGCTTTTCCTAAACTCCGCACTCTTCGCATTCATGATTGTCCCAAATTAATTGGAAATTTACCGCCCCAACTTCCTTCTTTAGAGTTTCTGGAAATTGAAGAATGTCCACAACTTGCTTCTTCTATCCCAAAGTGTCCAAACATTCGCGAGTTAGTTATCATTCGAAGTCAAAATGTAGTGTTGCAAGAGCAAGAATTAGCACCTTCCCTACGCAGTCTAGCAGTTTCTGGTGCGCGCATGTTGGAGCCTCTGTCTGAAAAGTTGCATATTCAAGATTTATATGTCGGGGATTGTTCTAATAATGCGGTGCCACTTTCAGTGATTATTCATATGCCCCGATTAGTGGAACGGCTAGTTATAAGAGATTGTGAAAATCTCAAGTTTGTTTTGGTTTCAGAGGCACGTCTTCATCTCCGAAGGATCTCCATTTATAATTGCAAGTTTCTGACGTCCTTGTTTGATGACATGGAACGTCTTCTTCCAACTTTAAAAGAACTATGCATATCATATTGCCCAGAAATGGAGCCATTTTCAGCAGGGTTGTTACCATCCAGATTAAAACGACTTGAGATAAGAAACTGTGACAAGTTGTTATCAAGTCAGACAGAATGGCATCATCTTCCAAATATCACCGAGCTTCGCATATCCACTGATTCTGACACATTGCATTGCACAGGGCTTCAACATCTAACGTCTCTTCAAGAACTACAAATTTGGGATTCTCCCAACCTTGAGAAATTAGAAGGAGGAACGATGCCTCCTTCTCTACAAAGGCTCCACATTTGGGATTGCGGGCTTCTTAAAGAACGATGCCGCAACAAGGATGGGGAAATTTGGCCCAAAATCTCCCACGTTCCACACGTCAGTTTACATGACACGGATTCAAGGTGCACTTATATGGTCCCTTATTCCATTTACTAGTCTAATATTCAGCATTACGTTTTGCATATTGCATGCAAGCACAGACTATAGAATGTTCTTTAATTATATTCCCTGAATCCACCATAATTATTACTCAGGTGTACTCTTTCTTATTTTTAGGACCTTTCTTTAATGTCGATACCTCTTGAATCATACCTTTTCTTGCTATGTAATTCTTCAATGACTTCTTCAAATCCTTTCGTTAAATTTTTCTTATATATATTCCCTTTCAAGCCAACAAGGTCCTACAATTTATACAATTACTTCTTGAAAAATGAGTTCACTAATTATTCCCAGATACGTCGTCATTCAAAATTCTCTGAACAAATTTGTGCACAAATTATCACGTGATTACAATTATAAGACTTTACCTTGGATGGAACTATTATTAATTGGGGTGTGTGAAAACCATGGGTGTTCTTCTGGGTGCAGGCTGGATGCAAACACTAATGAGATGCATCGATATTCAGATTCAGTGAAATGTACAGGGAATCAAGGTAGTTATTGATCCTTCTTTTATCATGTGTTATCGCTGATATTGTCTTACATATTACGTCCCTAGCTTTATTTTAAAACGTTACTTATCTATTGTCCATATTATGAGAACCTGATAACAATTTTACTAAATTAAATGAAGTTAGCTAACATTGGTTATCTTTTGTAAAATATCACAATTACATTCAATAAAAGTCAATAGTTAGAGGAGTTTGGTTAATTAGTTAGGAGGTTTTATAATTATTCAGGGACACCAGGCTGAAAAAATAATGCTTTAGACAATGCATTATACTATATAAAAGAGTTTCATATAATAAGAATCGGAAGGAGTATATTATTACGATTGGTAGGTACTTGAAACAAGTAGTGGAATAAATTGAATAAAAATTAGCTCATTAAAAGTAGTTGGATTAGTATAAATGTTAATTAGTTAGTTAAAATTTCCATATAAAATAAACAAGGATTTAAGATGGGGAAAACCATAATAGTAATAAGAAATATCATAACTTATATGTTCATCCCATACTCTCTTTTTCTTTGTTACTTTTGCCGCTTGTAACTTTCAATTTGTCATGGACTTATTTTTTCTATATTTTTTATTTTATTTTGATTGGAAGAATTAAAAGAATATACATAGAATAAAAAGAGAAAGGAAAACATGAAGAAGTTGTCTAAATTTTTAATAAGAGAAAGAGTAAAATTACTCTTCATCCTTTTTCTCGGCCATCTTCTTCTCCTAATTTTTCCTCTCAATCTCCCAACTCTTCATTTCATTTTAGCCTTCCCCTCTCCAGGGATGAGCACCAAGGCTCAGTTCTTCAGTGCTTATCACTTGGTATCGAATTGGCTTCTCTGGAAGTCAACTAATTACTTGACTTGTCTGGATATATAGCCAATAGTCCTGTCCTGGCTTGTGTTTGGAGGTCATTAAACATGGTTTCTTAGAAAGCCTTGCATGTAATTAGCTTCTTTGCAAACCTAATGAATTATCTTGTTTTAAAAGTTTATGTTATATCGCATGGAAAGCATAAAATTTATGTAAAATTGCTCATTTCCCACAAGCTTTTGCCATTTTCTAGTTTATCATTATGAATTTATTATTATAATTAATGTTGCTACAAGTGCGACCATCACAACTTCGGTCTTTTTTTTCCCCAAAAAAAATCCCCACCAGCATCACAGCTTAAGTTTTATTTTATATTCTTCACATATTAGACATGTATATGTTATTCTTTCTTTAATTTCTCAGTCACGTTTCTCAATATTTATTTCTATTTTCATGGACAGAGGGAGATATTACGAACACCATGCTTCAACCTTATTGGGGTTCAGAAATTTTGAAAGATGGCGGTTATACGGGTAGAACATTTCCAAGTTGGTCAGGAGGTCGCTCGTACAATCACTTGATTGAGTTGTACCTGACTAATTGCGACAACTGTCGGAGAATTCCTGCCCTTGGCCAACTACCTGCTCTGAGATCCTTGACTATTTCAGATTTACGAAATGTGGTGACTGTGGGTTCTGAGTTTTTAAAGGGACATGATTGTTCTTTACTCGTACCGTTTCCATCCCTTGAAACTCTTTCCATTGAAGATATGGCTTTCTGGCAAGAATGGCACTCTATTGATATGGAAGCCTTTCCCAAACTCCGCGCTCTTTTCCTTTATAATTGTTACAAATTAATTGGAAACTTACCTCCTCAACTTATTTCTTTGAAGTGTCTGGTAATTGAAGGATGTCCACAACTTGCTTCTTCTATACCAAAGTGTCCAAGTATTGACGAGTTAGCTATAATCAGAAGTCGAAATGTAGTGTTGCAAGAGCAAGAATTACCACCTTCCCTACGCCATCTAACAATTTCAGGTAAGCGCATGCTGGAGCATCTGTCTGAAAAGTTGCATCTTGAAAAATTGACCGTGCGGGATTGTTCTGATGCGGTGCCGCCTCCAGTGATTCATGTGCCCCCATCAGTGGAACAGCTATTTATAGAAGAATGTGAAAATCTCAAGTTTGTTTTGGTTTCGGAGGCACCTCTTGTTCATCTCCAAAGCATTTCCATTTGCAATTGCAAGTGTCTGACGTCCGTGTTTGATGACATACAATGTCTTCTCCCAAATTTGAAAGAGCTAAGCATCGAAAAATGTCCAGAAATGGAGCTGTTCTCACCGGGGTGCTTACCATCCAGTTTAAAACAACTTGAGATAACAGCCTGTGACAAGTTATTATCATGTCATACGCAATGGCATCACCTTCCCGCTATCACTGAGCTTGTCATCTGCACTCAATCTCAGACATTGCATTGCACAGGGCTTCAACATCTAACCTCTCTTCAAGAACTACGAATTTGGGATTGTCCCAGGCTTGAGAAAATAGAAGGAGGAATGATGCCTCCTTCCCTGCAAAGGCTCCTCATTTGGAGGTGCTCGCTTCTCGAAGAACAATGTCGCAACAAGGATGAGGAAATTTGGCCCATTATCTCCCACGTTCCACAAATCCGCTTAAACGGCATGGATTTAATAAGGTGCACTACTATGATCCCTCATTCAAATTACTAGTTTAATATTCAATATTACATTTCGTATATTACATGCAAGCAGACAAGGCAATGGTTCCATGTCAAATGTTCCTCTGCACATTTAATTATATGATTCGCTGAATCCACCAAAATTATATTAATTATTACTCTTTAGTGGAGACAAATTCATTTGAGGGAAATTAACTTCCAAGACACTCTCTTCTTTTAGTAATTTATTTTTTCCATTCTGAACCTCTTGAAGCATGCCTTTTTTCTGGAAATTTTCATGCTAAATGATTCTTCAATGACTTCTTCAAATCGTTTCGTTTAATTGTTATCGCACACATACCCCCGTCCCAGCGAACAGGTTACCGCATTTTATTACTTTTTGAAGAAAAAAAGTATATTTATTATTCCCGGAGACATCACCCAAAATTCTCCGCTCAAATTAGTCACAAATTATCATGTGATTACGTTTATAATGAATTTTTTTTCAATTATTATTTTCTTTGTATTTGAAACAGTTCTTTTTTTTTTGGCCATCGATGTGGAAAAGCAGTTTACCTAATTGGGCGGAACTATTATTAGTTGATCATAAAACAGCAGCTTTTGAATTCATACAATGTCAACTCTCAAACTTATGGCCGTCTCATTTTTGAAGGCCCATGGAGCACAGTGCAGACCCAGCAGGTACCTCATTCCGTGGACCTCCCATGAATACAGGCACTTCCTATTGAGACGAAGACGTGAATGATGCCACAATTCGGGTGATTGAGAATGAAAATCTCTCTCTTCCCCCCTCCCTTCTTCTCACTCTCTTTTAATGAAATGAAAATACGTCCCTGTATAATTGAACTGATGAGTTTACCAATATTCTTCGCTGAAAATATGCAGGAGGAGGAAGGCAGAAGTCCATGTAGATGGGGCTTTCTCATACTTACTTCATTCTGTCGGCTGTGGGAGCCTAGTCAAGTCGATGAAGGGAGAAATTGTTGAGTCGTTCATGCGTAGGGTTGAGGAGGAAGGGGACAGCTCCGTGGCGGAGCTTTGGCTGGGGGTGCCTCATGGGACTCCGCCGTGCCTGGGATGATGGTTTTCGAAACGTGAAACCCTATTGTGACTCAGAAGGTTGTTCACCTGTGTAAAACTGCCAACTTCGACTTGCGTGAGAACAAGGATCTTATCCTGGAAGTGCAGAACCTGTTGCAACGAGAATGGTCTCTGCCAACAGATCGGCTATCGTTCCTGCAGATTTACTTGCCAAGAAAGCTCTCTCAATGCCCTTAGGACTGCAGGTTCTTTCGAGCCAAACCATACGCGAAGAGCGGCTTCAATTAGTTATCTTTATTTTGTTAAATTTTGTTTTGATTCTACTTCTCTAATGTGGCTACTATACTTTGCTGGCTAGTTATTTTGTATATTTCGTAATTAGCATGCACGAACTCATCCAACTGTTCACAGTTCCTAGCACAAAATGCAACAGGTCAAGAAAGCTTCTCATGGACCCCATCCCACTGAGGGAGACTGATAGGGTGATTGTAGAAAGAAGAATAAAGGAGAATAAAAAAAGAGAAATTGAAATTATACTGAACAATTCCCCCGGGGGGGGGGGGACATATCAGATGGCACCCTTGTTTTGAAGTCATGGGTAACGTTAGTCCTTATTAAATATCCAACTCAAATCCTTATTACCTCAATTCCATCCAAAATCTTAGTAAAATATTCTCAATAAAGAAACTTAACTATCCAAGTGAAGATAAGCACTCTGAGCATAGAAAGGTTTCCTTGGATGGCATACCGAACTTGAACAAGAAAATCTGAGACACTATTACTGACACAGGCACTGACAGCAGCGACCATATATCAAGTATATGGATTTGGAGAATTTGAATCCCTGCTGTACTAGCTGGATCAGCACCTTTGGTATCTACTTCTACTAGAAATATAGCTTGAAATGCGGATTTATTCTTTCTGGTTTCTGCTGTACAATTGTGTCTGTTTTGTTCAATTATTTTCTGTTTGGATGCTGGTCTGGTTCGCATGCACGCATTTACGGACAGCCTATATGGAGGTTTCATTGTTAAGACTATATATATAAACACAGATTATTTGCAATCTTTTTGTTTCCTGTTCTGTATCACTAACAATGTCAAGATTTCAAACATGAGTCCTTTATCGGTCTTCAGTGCCGGGTGGAATAATGGTGCATGGTCTTTTCAGTGCAAGGTTCTGTTCAAACAGCTACTATCCCATCTATGACCTTACTTGGCTATGAACATGTTAGATATAAAAAATTATGCTGTTATTTCACTAAACTAAACTCTGCCCTGTGCATTGCAAGGGAAATTCAAGATCTTCTTAAAACCACACAAAGTTTGAAAGAGGAAATCAGTTGTTCTAAAACAAGAAAGAGGATCAACAGTCATGCCAGTGAAAAGAAAACAAATAGTGAAGTAACAGTGCTCACACATTCTAGTTTTATGTAATATATTGATGATTTTGATTACTTCATTTTGAAACAGTGCATATTTGATAAGGCAGAGCAGCTGCCAGGCGGCCAAATCAAGGATTTTTGTCAGGCTTGATAAAAGTGCAAAGAGAAGTGACATGCCTTTTGAAGCACTTACAATTTTCCCCCATCCCCGTATTTACAATTTAATGGCTTGTTACCTTCTGTTGAGAAGTGCAAATTCTTGTGGCAGGAAAACTATTTTTGAATCAAACCAGACCTCATGCAATTGGAGGCATTAAGAAGGAAGCATTGCAAGCAGAAATTAACTTGTTGGAGATGAGGTTGGCAGAGATTGATGCACAGGAAAAGATACGTGTGTGAAATCCATGGAGAACCAGTTAGAGATGAGTTGCAAGGGAATTGCAGAAGGAATCGGAATGTCATTGAATTATTGAGAGAGAGCTTGTTGTAAAATCCCAATTTTAGTTTTAGGATTGAAGTAATATGGGTGAGAGATTAATCATTGCAATTGAGATTCCATGTCATTATTTGAGCAAGGAAAATTTACTTAAAAATGAAATTAAGTCTTTTAAGACAAATTAATACATTAAGCGGGATTAAGTTGAAGTATTTATAGTATTTTGCAAAATAACATACCATAATTTTTTAAAAATTATGAAAATTCTAAGAAGAAAATAAATATGTAAATTTGCTCAAATTTGAATTTTAGGAGAATGATGGAAAAAATTAAAAAAATAATAATAAGTAAAGTAAAAAAAAAAAAAAACCAAGAGTTATTGTTCCATTCAGCAGCGTGCCTATGGTTTAGAAAAGACACAGGTGATATCCCTAATGAAGAAAGCTCTGCAATCAAAAACAAAACGAGACAACAACGTTGGTTAAGAATAGCCTTCTATGTTATCTCTGTCTTGATGGGGCAATCAGCTGCAACACTTTTGGGGTAGACAGTATTATCAAGACGGTGGACACAGCAAATGGTTGGGAACACTTGTCCAGCTTGTGGGTTTCCCTATCCTCTTCCCGTGTACCTTATCCCTGCATCCAAACAAACCTCTGCTACAAATACCATTATTCACAATCAGGAACAACCCCCCCCCCTTTCAAAGCTGGCACTTGTTCATGTCACCCTTGGCCTTATTGTTGCATTAGACTGTTATTTATTCTCTGTCGGTCTCTCTAACCTCCCTGTTTCTACTTTTTCTCTTATTTGCTCCTCTCAATTAGCCTTCAGTGCCTTCTTCTCCTTCTTCCTTAGTTCACTCAAATTTACACATTACATCGTAAACTCTTTAGTCGTTTTACCAATCTCGTCCATCATGCTTGTCTTTCATACTGATTCTCCTTCAGCATCCACGCAAGTTTCAAAACAGAAGTATGTGATTGGGTTCATATGCACAGTTGCTGGTTCAGCTGGGCGTGGACTCGTGCTTTCTCTGACACAGCTTGCATTCAGGAAAGTCTACAAAAAGGTAAATTTCAAGGTGATTCTAGACATGACGATATACCAATTCCTTGTGGCAACATTAGCAACGCTGGTGGGGCTGTTTGCTAGCGGGCAATTTAGAGGTTTGAAGGCAGAAATGGAAGAGTATAGAATGGGAAAGGCAAATTATGTGCTGAACTTGAGCTTTACTGCTATAACATGGCAAGTTTTTAGCGTGGGAAGTGTGGGTTTGATTCTGGAGGTGTCGTCTGTGTTCTCAAACGTGATAACTGTTTTGGGTTTGCCAATTGTACCCATTTTGGCTGTAGTATTCTTCCATGACAAGATGAATGGGTTGAAGGTGATATCTCTGTTCCTTGCTCTTTGGGGCTTTCTGTCATACACCTACCAGCAGTACTTGGATGAGACCAATTCCCAGCCTCAGCACAGAAACAGTGATGCTTTATCCAGAGACTCGCTCAATGGAGTATCTGAGCAAGTAGAAAACAGGTCAGTATGAAACTGGGAGTCCAAGAAATTCCCTGAACTCATAGACACATATATATGGAAGCATGCATGTAATTGAAATCTTTACTTATAAGGCAATGTACAGTTTCTCAATGTTGTGATGCTAAGACGTAAGAATTCTTCAGTCTATCTCACAGAACAGACCATTTTCATGGGTCTCTCATGCATGTGATCCGTATGCAAATTCTTGGAAGGCTCAGTCAATAGATGGGACCACCAATTTATCATTTGTAATAAATGGAAACAGTTGGGAAGTGAAAGCTTCTTTCGTAAGTTGATAAATACAGAACCACACCACCTCGATGTTTTATAATAAATACCGGTATAATGCAATATTAGTGCCTGGGACATTCTTTTAATGATTAATAAGTTATATTTTGAATAAATTTCAGGAAAAGTATAGTATAATTATGGTTGAGCTTGGAAAAGCCATCAATAAGAAAAGAACATAAATTTTTGTCCAGTAGAAAATGGGGAAAACTGGGGGTAAATCCCCTTTAGAATCGGAATCAGTTTTGATACTTATCCTTTTGATAAGTATTATAAACTTATCATATCTGAACCATTTATATCTTATTTGAATGATCCAGATTTGATTTCTTTTTTATTTTTATTTATTCCAAATAATTATTTTAATATGTATAGAATCTAAAATAGTGATGATCTCTTAACTATCATATTCTATCAAAAAATAGTTTTCTCTATTTAAAAATAATTAATTAAATATTTTAAATCTAGACCGTTCAAATCAGATATAGACAATCTAGATCTGATGAACTTATGGTAATCACTAAAACGACGAGCACTAAAACTGGTTCCCTTGGAATCAAGCCAAAGAATAAAATCCCCCCCGGTCGATGAGAATTAGTCTTGCAAGCTTTTAATTAATCTTACCTTTTTTTTCTAATTACTGTCTCCGGTCCTAATTATAAAAGCTAGTTGACCAAGTTGAAAAGATTAAGAAAAGAAGTTAAGTTAATCATTTATAATAAATATGTGTTGTCTTTCCTAAAATATCCTTGCTAATCAAGTATATTGGTTAGAACTATCATTGTTAGAAGAACTACCTTGGAAAAAAATACATAAATTTTAGAGACAAATTGGATAAGAATCTTATATTTATGACCAAAATAAAAATCAAACAAGGTCTTATATTAAGGATCGAAGGTAGTATGTAACTATCACAGAGAATTAGTCGAATCCAAAAACAGTTCAGCAGCCATTATTGTTGTAAGTGACAATCCACCATCCGGCAAAAAAATAAAAAATAAAAAGTCACAACCCGCCATCCGGCAAAAAAATAAAGGGAAAATCACTAACAGGTCCCACAGAAGACAATTTATTACTCTGAGGTCTCACGAAATGTCAAAATCACTGACAGGTCCCAAGGGACCTCAGAGTAATATTTTCGTTTTGTAAAATGACATTACTGCCCCTCATATTCCAGATTCATATTTGCTCTGTCATTACGATTTACAACCTCAGCAGCGACTATTAACAACCTAATGAGAGGGCGTTAACAACCCTAGCAGTATCCGTTAACAACTTACTTTATAGAATTATATAACCTCTACATAAGAGTAAATTATAACCAAATAATATAATACAACAACTTTAACACTAAAATGGGAAGCTTTTTGATATCATTAAGAATTTTAACTAGATC